ATCAGCGCAGTACTTAGCTCTTCACTTCAGATGAAACTGGTGAATGTAAATAAACTAATTAATGTTTCTGGCTGTTGTGCGCTATGTGGAGCAGGAGTATTCAATGGCCCGTGGAGAGAAGTGTAACATACTCTTATCGGAGACCACAAGCAATGCTGAACTAACTGTCTCGACTGTCTGCGCATTCAACTCTGACTGTCTGAGTGACTCGTGCAAGCGAGTCTGACGGCTCCCGCCGTATGCCGTCTGCCGTCTGCCGTCTGCAGTTCGCTATTTGCCCGTCTACTGCCCCTGTGGACGGGCTTAATAAATGGCTGACATTTAAAGCGCATTCCCCCATTCAGAGCCGCCTGATGTCTGACGTTTTTCTGAGCTTTTGTTTCACATTATAACATACACATTCCCAGGCTGCAGCACCCACACACTTCTCTCTCTCTCTTTCTCTCTCCCTCTCTGGCAGACATCAAGCCGTTTAAAAATAATTTCACTCGCTTCCGCTCGCTGGCTGCGCTTTGACTGCCAGCCAAAAAGTGTGCTCATATATTTGCTTCTAGTCGCCTGTTAATAACCAAAAAAAAACTTGCTCGATCCGAGCTAAAGAGCTGAGCACCGAACCAGTCCTTCCCCCGTTGCCAATGGGCTGTCCACGCAGCGCAGTTACAAATGTTGCATATTCCATGGCGGGAATTGGGGATTTCGGGCCGCATTTCTTTTATTTATAGGTTGACGCGACGCGGTCTCTCGGTTATATATCGCATCTATATGTATTCCTCGCCCCCCTCGAGGGCGTACGTCCGTCCGTCTGTCCGCTCGTCCGTCTCATATCCGCTTGTATGGTCGCATTTCCGTTTCAACTTTTTCGGCCGCTCATGAAAAATGGCAACAAAGAAAAAAAATTGGCCATCCATATGAGAGCGTACGCCTCACTCTCTCTCTCTTTCTTTCTCTCTCTCTCTCTCTTTCTGTTTCAGTGAGGTCTGGGGACTTGCAAAATATGCTCGAGTGGTTTATAATTTTTGCTGCCAAACATTTTTTGCGGCTCAGTCTGCGCTGTTTTTCTGTGTGTGTGTGTGTGTGTGTGTGTCGGTGTCATGGGGTTAATGCCACGCCAGATGAGTTGACAATTGGCGGGTTGAAAGGGCCATCATTTGTTTGGCATTTTCCCACTTCTGCGAATGCTTTGTTCTTTTCGTTGGGCCAGCGACATTTATGGCCGCATTTAAATTTGAAGTACCTTTTAATGAAGCATAGCATTACGCAAAGGCTGCCATAAATAGAGAGAGAGAAAGCGAAAGAGAGTATTATTGCGAGAGAGGGAGAGAAAAATAACAAAAACTGTGAAAAATGTTATAAGACAGATACTAAATCATATACGGAATGCTACACGAAAAACCTAGCTCTTATTGCTTGCACAATACAACAAAAAATTCTGAGAAATATATTTATAAGCAGAAGCTATAAATATTGCAGCTGAGTATTTAAAATCTCGTCTAAGGCATTAAAAGGGAAGATAAAGCTAAGGACTGATATCGTTTTATGAATTCCAATATAATCTAAGCTTCATTATAATTCTCATCAAATAGGGCCGTTTTTGGTTATGCTGATGTTGGCAATTATTTTGAGACAATGCATTCAATACTTTAAAAGAGATGCCATAAAGTGACATAAATTTTTGCTTCTACTACGTACTACATTAATCTTAACTGATTAGGTGCATTGGCAAGGGTCTAGTGCTCTTACAAGGATGCAGAATAGAAAAGCAAATTGTTGGTTTCCACACAGGTGCTTCTTCCTGTGATTATGTTCAATTTTATATTGAATTTATGCTTCTATCTACGCGCAGTAAGCGCAGCAAGCGCACAGGGAGATAGAGCAAAGAAGGGGCGATCAATGGGAGAGCGATGCAAAGGGAGAGCGAGCATATCAAATGTGAATGCCCAAATGCTACTCTTTATAGTGATGATTTCTATATTGTTTGATAATGCCCAATTCAAGTTACTTGATATATTTCAAATAAGGATATCAAATGATTTAACAGCTTCTATGTCAAATATTCTCACAGTATGAACTTTACGTTGGTATAAAAAAAAACTTCAGCTTTAACATTTACAATCTCTATTAAAAGTTTTCAGCTCATATTAAAAGGCAAAGCGTTCTTCTGTTGTTATTGATATACTGAGTCTAAGAATGCATAACAGCATTCTTGTTCTTATATATTTTGGCAGTGATCCCAGCTTCTCAAACTCGTGATCTACCAGAATCAACTCCCTATTTTCATATGCCTCTCATTAGTTCACAATTTGAATTTTATTAGCCGTTGCATTTTCCACTTGGCGCCATTTACAACAGCTGAGCACTTGGGGAAAACTCGTAGCTAGCCAGTGAAACGCCGGGGCAATTCAACCAAAAACTCGGCTAAACTAAACTCGGCTCAAACTCAAATTATAATTACGCGGCCATTGAAGCTCAACGTTTTTGAATAACTACCCCACAGCAGCCATTCAAGGGTAGCTACAAAATTTCTTTCATTTTCATGCCACACACAAAAAAAAACCAAAAAAAATTACAACTGAAATGGTGCGCTGGCCAAATTAATTGAAACTTTATTTGGATTATGAAATTAGCACACGCCCAGTGCTCAGAATTTGGTTTTTTTACTCGAGAATTAAGCGCTTTTTAATTAGGTTTATTTTTTTTTTGGTTGGGGCTTTTGAAGTTCAGCTGGGCGAGGGGCGTGGTGGGATTAAGTGCGCCATAATTTGACGCCAGTTTTTAATTGTGTGTAAAATTGTTGGCAAGCATTTGAAACTACAAAATTGTTGTGGGCTGCCCTAACTGAAAGATGCAATTAAACTTTTCTTTTTTCGGGCATGTGGAAAACGTAATTGAACGGAACGGACGTATGCCGGGAGGAAGGACACGTAATGCCATTTTGGGCCAATCAAGCGTGAAATGTAAATGAAAATTGACAGGTAAGATGGGCAAAAAGTTTTTGCCTAACAAAAATCACTCATGAAATTTGATTGACTGCATCAATGAGTAAATGACTGAACCCATGACAGATGAGAGTAGGCCAAATAAATATCGAAAAAGTTTCGCCTTTGCGGCGGAAATGTCCTGACCATCCGGACTGCTGCCAGCCTCATGAAAATTGACAATCAAATTGCAAATAGCTTTATCTTGTAGTTTGTTTATTTATTTATATCATTTCGTACACTTCCTGCGCATCGGCCACAATGAGCAGAGAAGTCATCTGGGAGGCAGACGGCGGCCATAGTTGTTAAGCTCTCTGTCTGCCTGTGTGTGTGTGTGTGCGTGTGGCCGCCATTTTGATATGGCTCATATGTGCGCACGTGTGTATGTGATTGCCTGTCCTTTTCGGCCTGTTATCCTTGGCTTATGTTTTCAATTAAATATCCATACAATTTTCATGACATGATGAACTACCTAGGAGGACTCCAAGCCAGGTCTCGACACGACTCTCAGCTCTCGCACACACATGTCTGAGTGTGTGTGCCCGCGTGTGTGCGTCTGTCAGTCAATTTATTTAATAACAAACGCACAGCAGACAAACAGAACAGATCTGAAATGTGCTGTATTACAATCAACCAACCAAGCAACCAGCCACTGGGCATAAAAATCTCTGTGAAGATTTTTGAATAAATCAAGAGACAAATATTTTATTTCATTTAATTTACACTCGTATAAAAACGAGCCGAGATAAGGTCGAGCTCATAAGTGATACAAAAATGTTTCGATTATAGCTGGAGTTAAACTTGCTTGCGGGGGAAGAGACTGGGCTCCAAGTATTCGAGTCCCTTGGGAAGAATATCTAAGATCTGACACAAGGCATTGTCATCTGGTCAACTGCCTTGGTTTATCATTTATGTCTGAATCAATCGACATTTAACCGCAACTGCCAAGGCAATTGCCAATTGGTTTTCGTTTCCAATCAAAGCTGCATATTCACTTTTTGTTTGATCGGACAGGCTGACAGCAACAATAAGTTGGAAGCATTAAGCTGAGGAGCTGAGGGGCAAAAGTTAATTTCACTTATGCGAAAAGTGAGGCAAAAAAAACTTTAATGTGCTCGCAGCACTCAAATGAAGCTGATAGGCTCTCTGTCAGGTGAACTGGAGCAGAGCAGCGCAGCTTCTGCGGCTGCTGCTGCTACCCATGTCATTTCAATCAAATATATGTATTTATTTTTTTGTTTATGACAGCAGCAGTGCCTCGACTGTGCCATGATTTATCATTATGTGACTGTGATGGCCCCCACTTGCCCTAACCCCACGTCTGTTACGCAACATAAGTACATGTTCAATATATAATAACATAAAATATGACGGCCTGGCCACATAAATAAAACAGCCACAAGCCGGTGAATATTGTAAATGTTTCAAAAAGGTTACAAATGAACACACGTCATGCAGATGCAGATGCAGACATACACACATACATACATAAATGAAGTGTATGTGGAAGATGACGTAAGGTAGTTTCAGAGCGTTCAGTCTGCTCCTGGCAATAAATAATATTTTCGTATTTATAGATTGCCTAGCAGCTGGCTTAAAGCAACAAGGCAGAAGAATTAATTATTTGAAAATATATGAAGACGACTTAGTTAAGCAACAGTTTACGAATTAGTCTATAGCACAGTTAACAGCACAGACTCTTTCATATCCGATCTCACCATATAGAGATAATTTTTAAAATTTTTAGACTTGCAATTCGGAATATATATTTTATATTATTAGACTGAATTCTTAATTGTTGTTCTTATTATATTATATTGTTTATTGTTTGCTTCGAAAACAATTTCCTCTATTATTGTGGTTTAACATTGATAAGCTTAGGGTGTTGACCTGATCTTATATAATAAATGGGAACATAACATCAATTGACACTCGCAAAAATGATAAGGAATAAATAATGCGAAATACGAGGTTTGCTTATTGAGATGAGTGAAGAGCTTGGATCAGTTCGAAATAAATGCAGTTGTGAAACAGTTGCAAATTCTAGATTATTGAAAATGGAAAATCAGCTCAAGGTGTGTTCCATGTTCATGATACTGATATCAACGTTGAGCTTTGTGGCAATGGAAAGTGCGGTAAGTATTTTCATATATATCATAAACATAAATGTCAAATGTTAAATATTTAAGGAGTGCAAAGCTAAGAGAGAGTTAGATACGCAATGCGGAAAGTATTGCTATAAGATTGTGAAGCCCCTTCTTGAGCACGCCTCATCTGTGTTCCAGAAGGAGAAGGCTCTAGCGGAAATACAACTGAAAGCTAATGAATGTACTCAGACTATAGCAGATTTACAGAAAACAGTTGCATTCAAAGTTGAATTACTTAACTCCAAAGATAAACATTTGGCTTCTCAAGCTCTTTTAATTGAAGCCAAAGATAAGCAATTGGCTCTTCAGACTGAGCTAATCAATACCTACAAAGCTAAGAAGGATTCGATTGAAAATGAAAAGGATAAGAAAATACTAACACTTGAATCTCTAATAAAAGAAAAAGATCTTAAAATATCGGATCTTGAAGTAAAAAACACTGCAAACTCTGCGAAGATAAATGATCTGCAAACGAAGCTAGCAAAATATTTGAAAATGCTAGAACAATCTAGCTGTAAGTCGATCACATCTATAATTAAGTTGCCTCACGTGGAGCCATTCCCCGTGTCCTACGACTACAAAATAGCTGGACCCGGGTGGACCGTAATTCAGCGTCGGATTGGTGGAACTGAAGACTTTAACCGAAACTGGGAGGAATACAAGACAGGCTTTGGCGACTTGCAATATGATTATTTCATGGGATTAGAGAAGATTCATCTACTTACGCAATCGCAGCCGCATGAGTTGTATATTCAGTTAGAGGACTTTAATAATGAAATCCGAAATGCTCGATACACACATTTTCTTATTGGAAGCGAGGAAGAATCTTACAAGCTAATAAAGCTTGGTAATTTTTCAGGAAATAGTGGAGATGCCTTTACGAAGCATTTAAATATGAAATTTTCAACAAAAGATCGGGATAACGATTTAGTTACAAATAACTGTGCGATAGTCCATGAGTCTGGATGGTGGTTTCACAATTGCAGTCACTGGTAAATACCGAAACTGTTTTGATATTGTACATCCTTTTGATCGTCTTGCATTTCTAGTAATCTAAACGGACGATACACATCCGAAGATGTTGGAATAGATGGAAAGAAAATATCTTGGAATTACTGGCATTACAAGCCTCTAAAGTTCACACAAATGATGATAAGTCCAAAGTTGAACTAACTAAACAGTTTAATACATTTAATACACTTTCAATTTATAATTTGAATAATAAATCAAATAAAGTAAAGAATTCATATTTGTCGACAATATAGAAACAGGAGGGAATATGAAATATGAAAATAATAGGGAAACACAATTGATCTTGTTATCTCCATGAATGTGCTGCACTTCATTCTGTATAATAAGACAACTAAAAATGGTCTAGATATTTCTAGACTAATAAAAGCGTTGCTCCTGTAAGATTCGAACTCACTGACTTCGTAAACTTATTTTACTGTCCAAAAGCAGCTAAATTACAAATCAACATTCTAGGACTTTAAAGATCCCTGCTTGCATAACATAGTCCTTGAGTAAATCTTCAGTACCACATGACCGTTAAAGAGAGTTATACTCGTAGGCTAATACAAAAAGGAGTTTTGAGGATAACAACAAAAGTTTGCCCTGAGCTCCATATGGTAGACACAGCCCCGGATACAGTCATCAATTCTTTGTCTTCTATCAAAGGGCATTTGATAGTTGAATATTACAATTAGTTTCTTTTGCAATTATAATCTAAGCATTGTATTGTATGCCATTCGACTGAGCTACCCGGGCACATAATAGACTCTTGATAAGATCCAATGAAAAGTTTTTACTCCTTGGAATGGTTTCAAGAATATTTTAAAAAATATTAAAATATTTTGAAACACGAAACATTTAAGAGTGCTCAACCCGATTTTTTTGGATAGTAAGTAAATTGAATGATTATTCGAAAAAGAAGATAAACTTGTACTGCAAATGCTATATTCGGTTAAGCACTTAAAATGTTTATGTATTGAAAGCAATCATTATTTTTTTGCTTTTCATTCCATTTTTGCTGCTTAAAAGTATTTATATTTATTTTCAAATATTAATGCAGCTTCTTCAGGGGATTAAAACTTATCATTGGTTCTTAATCAAGGAAGTTCACGTGCCCGGGTAGCTCAGTCGGTAGAGCATTGGACTTTTAATCCAAGGGTCCAGGGTTCAAGTCCCTGCTCGGGCGGCTACATTTTTTTGTGAAGATCACGGGAAATACGTTCATATAACAAGAGCTTCAGCAGCAATGCTGTCCGTTTCCCTTAAGGATGACAATAGCAAAAACAATTACAAACTCGCGAAAGACGAGATTCCCGAGTTGAATATAAGACATAATAAATATGAAAATGTAGCGTTGCGATCTCGCAACCATAAGATCTAACTTACCTTTTTTCGATAGCTCATCCTATTTCCTTAATATTGAAATTCACAGAAGTATTTCAAACACTAGTCAGTGTGTGAGTGCTCAAATCGAGAGAGATACTCCAAACCTTTCGAAGTGTTGTACTGCGTATGGTATTTATGGTATTTATGAGTTTTGTGGTTCAAGGATATACATACTATATGAAAATATCCATGCCGACTCGAATGTTGATCATTATCCTGTTCCTACACAAGAACTGGAAATAATTTAGAAAAAAAGGAACTCTTTGCCATCCTATAAACTGACTCCAAGCTGATTTTGAATGCCGCCCATTTCCATATTACCGACAAATATGCATTCTTTACTTTATTTGCTTTATAATTAAAATTATAAATTGAATTTATTACATATATCAAAGTGTTTAGTTGTCAGATTTTGGACTTATCATCATTTGTGTGAACTTGAGTGGCTTGTAATGCCAGTGATTCCAAGATATTTTCTTTCCATTTTTTCCAACATCTTCGGATGTGTATCGTCCATTTAGATTACTAAAATTGTCAAAAAAATCAAAAGGCTGTACTTATTAATTTATTATATATATTATTATTAATTTTTTTTTTTTTACCAGAAACTGCAATTTTGAAACCACCATCCAGACTCATATTTTGCCACACAGTTACCTTTATCGTTAAGGCGATCTTTTGTTGAAAATTTCATATTTAAATGCTGCGTAAAGGCATCTCCACTATTTCCTGAAAAATTACCAAGCTTTATTAGCTTGTAAGATTCTTCCTCGCTTCCAATAAGAAAATGTGTGTATCGAGCATTACGGGTTTCATTATTAAAGTCCTCTAACTGAATATACAACTCATGCGGCTGCGATTGCGTAAGTAGATGAATCTTCTCTAATCCCATGAAATAATCATATTGCAAGTCGCCAAAGCCTGTCTTGTATTCCTCCCAGTTTCGGTAAAAGTCTTCAGTTCCACCAATCCGACGCTGAATTACGGTCCACCCGGGTCCGGCTATTTTGTAGTCGCAGGACACGGGGAATGGCTCCACGTGAGGCAACTTAATTATAGATGTGTTCGACTTACAGCTAGATTGTTCTACCATTTTCAAATATTCTGCTAGCTTCGATTGCACATCATTTATCTTCGCAGAGTTTGCAGTGTTTTTTACTTCAAGATCCGATATTTTAAGATCTTTTTCTTTTATTAGAGATTCAAGTGTTAGTATTTTCTTATCCTTTTCATTTTCAATCGAATCCTTCTTAGCTTTGTAGGTATTGATTAGCTCAGTCTGAAGAGCCAATTGCTTATCTTTGGCTTCAATTAAAAGAGCTTGAGAAGCCAAATGTTTATCTTTGGAGTTAAGTAATTCAACTTTGAATGCAACTGTTTTCTGTAAATCTGCTATAGTCTGAGTACATTCATTAGCTTTCAGTTGTATTTCCGCTAGAGCCTTCTCCTTCTGGAACACAGATGAGGCGTGCTCAAGAAGGGGCTTCACAATCTTATAGCAATACTTTCCGCATTGCGTATCTAACTCTCTCTTAGCTTTGCACTCCTTAAATATTTAACATTTGACATTTATGTTTATGATATATATGAAAATACTTACCGCACTTTCCATTGCCACAAAGCTCAACGTTGATATCAGTATCATGAACATGGAACACACCTTGAGCTGATTTTCCATTTTCAATAATCTAGAATTTGCAACTGTTTCACAACTGCATTTATTTCGAACTGATCCAAGCTCTTCACTCATCTCAATAAGCAAACCTCGTATTTCGCACTATTTATTCCTTATAATTTTTGCGAATGTCAATTGATGTTATGTTCCCATTTATTATATAAGATCAGGTCAACACCCTAAGCTTATCAATGTTAAATAATAACAAACAAACAATATAATATAAAAAAAAATTATAATTAAGAATTCAATCTCAAAATATATAAAATGTATGCTTGAAAGCCCCAATGTGTGTAGAGATATGATTCGGACACTTCTTATTCAATTGCAATGCTAAAACTGGAAGCTCGTCAAAATACCTACAAAATTGTCACTAAATTAGAATTAGCATCAGTTTCACAATTGGTTTTATTTACAACTAATCTAAGCTCTCATTTTATAGTTCTTATCAATGTAGATTAAAGCGGCAGCCACACGAGTTATCAAATAATTAGTCGCATATAACAAATTAGAATTAGTCAAAGTCGTAGGTGAAATAACTTTGACTAATTCCATTTCGTTATATCGGGTCAAAAGGCTAAGCTTATCAGTTCCAGACGAATTTTTCATGAGAATATTTCGAAATCAAAATATATCCGTTTAAAATATTTAAAAATAAAATATAAATAATAATGTAAATATAAAAATTTATAAAAAATAAGTTCATTATCTTTTCGCTTATTCATTGAAATTGAATGTGTTTGAAGAATTCCAAGATTGTTCAAGCCGAGACGTATCTGTCGTTATATGTATGTATTGGCCCAACTTTGTGAATAAACTCTGCACAGCAATTCATTTTATATAATAAGACAGCTGCGAGTGCTCCAGTCGGGAGTTCTTTTTAGCTTTTCCAAAGCAACCAGCATGTATACATTCAATAAATCACACTCAATCCTGGGTGAATTTTTAGATTTATAATGTGTCTTTATGAAAAGGTTTTATTCGTGAGCTGTATGAGATTCATTAAATTGACGTTATCAAAGTATTCACAGTACAAAATATCTCCCGTGATGTTCACCAAAAAAATACGCTCGCCCGAGAAGGGACTTGAACCCTGGACCCTTGGATTAAAAGTCCAATGCTCTACCGACTGAGCTACCCGGGCACGTGAACCTCCTTGATTAAGAACCAATGATAAGTTTTAATTCCTTGCAGAAGCTGCATTAATATTTGAAAATATATATAAATACTTTTAAATACATAAACATTTTAATTGCTTAATCGTATATAGCATTCGCAGTACAAGTTTATCTTTTTTCCGATAACTCATCCAATTTTCGTACTAACGATAATAATTCCAAGGAATAAAACCCATTATTATATTGGATCTTGGTTCCCATGTGCCCGGGTAGCTCAGTCGGTAGAGCATTGGACTTTTAATCCAAGGGTCCAGGGTTCAAGTCCCTGCTCGGGCGGACTTTGTTTTGTGGCGTCGATTTAAAATATTGGAATATTTAACTATCATCAAATGTACTTCGATGTAAGAAAAGTATATCTTGTTGTGATCCCCAAAACTCCTTTTTGTGACAGCCCACGTGTTTAACTCTGCTCAACGGTCAAGAGGTGTTAAAGGATCTATTCAAGGACTATGTTATGCAAGCAGCCGTAGGCTAAAGGCTATCAATCAAAAGCACTCAGTCAACAGCTGAGAGTCAGCTAGAGCAATTGACTTGAAATGTCGAAATAACTCTTGGCACAAAATAATATATTTTATATATTTAGTATAGATATTAATACTGTGGAAATGTTTCACTACATAGAGATAAGAATTGTCAGTTCCAGGAAATACTCGCAACACTCAATTAACAAATGTAGCCGTTGCCAATCAGTGGCAAATCAGTGGAAATCTGGCAGAAAAATCTAAAGTGATATTAAAAAAATGAGAATGAACTCGGCCGCGTACAATTAAAATGGCAACTAAATAAATTAAATTCCAAGTTGGCTGTCATCGGCCAAAAGGCAAACATACAAGTGCCAGCAAGCCGAGGCAAATCAGAGCAGACTGAAAGAGCAAAGGTCCTGACCTCGAGTCTCCAACTCCGAGTTCATGTGCGGGCAGCATCGATGGTCGTCGAGGCGCGCGTTTATTGAATGAAATTAGTCTGCAAATACAGTGTGGCATAAGCCCTGGGCGCATTGGCCTGGTCAACGAGCCGTAAGCCTAATGTAAGTGCCTCCTTGGCTGGCGCAATCTGTGCTAGCTGCCCCGCCCGCCCCCACACATACATGGCGCACAGTCTCTCCCTTGCAGAGTTGTCGTCTGCATTGAAATCGTCCATTAGCTAAGCAGATTAATTGCTAAAAGGTATTTAATTCGCGTCGCTTTTAGATTTCAGCGTTTTATTCTCCATTTCATTCAAAGCTCGGCGTTCAGCTACTCGCATTTCAGCCAGACGCATATTACGCTGTTTCCTTTCATTTTATTTCTCAATTTCTTTTCATTTGATTCTTTTCTTTTATTTTTCGCTCTGCTGTGCTGTGCTTTTTGATAGAAACTCTCAACTTCCTTGGAAATATGGCGTTAAGTATTTTGCGCTACTTTTTTCGTTACTTTTTAATGCTTCATTAGCTACTAATGGAAATTGTGACTTTGCGAAATGCTTTGGCAGCGACTGCCATTAGGGGGCCACGGAGAGGGCCAGAGATTAACAGAAAGAAAATGTGTCACACAGAGGCCAAACAAAAAGTTGTCGAGGCGGAAAGTGTCTTGCCTAGAAATCAATTGATAGCAGCTTCATTTCTTTGATTGAGCTCCACATGATAAAGAAATAGTAGAGAATTCTGTATGGAAAGATTTGACTTGTATAAGCCACGCTAGTACTAAGAAATTAAAAGTAAAATCTACCCAGCAGCAGGGACAACAAAATATGAAAGGTGTTTGAAGACAACGCATAAAAGTAAAAAAAAAATAAAAAGCAGTAGCAAATAATTTTCAGAAAAGTTGTGTGATTTATGTGCAAATATAACACAAAAAGCAACGCAAGTTTTCCACTATAAAAAATGGCAGGGAAAGAAACTCAGAGAGACTAGGCAATGCAGGTGGCAATGAAGTAGGACATCAGGTAGAAAATGAAAATTGCCAATGCAGCTGCTGCCAAGCCAAACAAAGCGAATGACGACCAAGGCAGCACAAACTTGAGGCAGGACAATGGGCAGGCAGGGTGAGAGAGGGAGGCTGAGCAGCTGTAAGGCGAAAGCTGCGCCAGTGAAAGCTGTTCCGGAAAACTTGCTAAAATTATTGAAGTGCAAGTAAAAAAGTAAGTGTGACACTGAAAGTTGTATGCAGCGAAATCGAGAGAGAGAGAGAGACTGTCTCAGTAAGGAACAAAGTCTAAAGCATAAAGATCGTAGGGAAGCTTTCAAAGATCTATTCAATACAAAATATTTAACCACTTCTCACAGCTGAAACAAACACAAAAACTCACACAAAAAAACGAGCAATTTGTGTTTATTTACAAATACACGAGCCTTAATCGAGAGCGACTAGATTGGGAAAGTCATAAAAACGTCCGATTTTATTTGAATATTGACTATATTTATAACAGAACTATAACAGAGGCATTCAAATATGAAATATATATAATTTGCATTTACCAGAGACTAAATGTATAAATATAATGCTCAACTAACTAAAGTTCAATAACGTGTTTAATCCCCTTCATGGGAACAGAGAAGTTTGAAATACTAAGAGTGCCCATGCTCGGCTGCTTTGATCATTATTTAAAACTCTGGGGTCTACCATGCTGCCTTCTACCAGTAACAGACATCCTAATAAAACTCATACTATAGATTTTGCATACAATTGAGCTACCATTAGAATAAATTCAAGATTTACTAATAACAACTATGAGTATAGGAAAAGAAAAGAAATATAATTTGTTACCCACTCATTTAATATAACAGATTGTCATCAGTACCTGCCTTTTAACTAATCTAACTATATAAATTTGTTGCAAGCAGCTTAAAGTTCCTTCTGATTCAGCCAATTAGCTAACATTCTCGTACATCTTGGGATTGCGTTGAATATTTTCCTCCATGATTTTCTTGTGCATAATCTCCCAATTCTCAACCTTTTGCAGAACATCGGGTAAGACTTCGCGTATGCGGAAGCGGTCAAACTCGGGTCCATCGCGCATCTCAATGTTCGTCTTGAAATTATAGTTGGGCGTGTAGCCGTTGAGCTTGAGGAAATGGTCGAAATAGAAGGGCACAATCTGCTCCTGCATGTTGTCTAGCACCATGACAGAGTCTTGGGTAAAGCCGTCGCTGACGACGCCATCGTCAGCAAAGGCGCGCACAAAGTTTCGTGTATTTTCAGAGATGACCACGGGCGGTGGTATAACTTTCTTGACACGCTTTCTCAAGTACATACGCTGCAGTGGTCCAACACGCTTGGGCTTCTTGTAGGGCGGCTCGAGGTTGCGTCGCACCTTCTTCATTTCCATATCGATGCGCCGCTCAACCAGATAGGCCTGCGTAGAGAGCTTCTCCAGGTAACGTCGCCGCTTGCGTAGCGTCAATTCCACTTCGCGTACTTTTTCGATGTCCATGTGCTCGAACTTGCTTAGTATCTCCAGGACAACGGTACTGATGGCCGCCACCATGTCGGAGGCACTGGGTATCACGTCGCTGGAGCCTCGCACCGTGGCGGGCACCACACGACGATAGACTTCGGCCATAATGGCGCGATGCTTTGTATGTTCCTCGTCTGCAAAGGAGGCTTGAATCGGTTGATCGAGATAATGTCTGACGCGCGCCTCCATCTCAATGGCACGATCCTCCATGAAGAATTTCTTGGCCGACTTGCGTGCCACATACTCCTGTTTCTCCTTCAAGTCCTTGCTACACCAGTCAACGAAGGTTTCCAGTCTACCCTGCAGTTCGGTGTGTACGGATAGGGTATAGTGCATTTCAAGCAGCAGCATGAAAGTTTTGTTCTTCAAATTTTCGATGCCCTGCAGGAAGTGGTCAGCACTGGGAAATACCTGCAATACTGGATGCAGATTGCGCATGTAGACGTTATAGTAAAAGTCTCGTATGGCCCAGGCATCATCCTTATCGCGCACGCGTATGTTGACTATGGCACGCTTCGCAATTGACTGGTCATAGGGTTCCAGTTCATACTCAACATCCTCGTCCTCCTCCTGAACTGCCTTGGAATCCACCGCTTCGAGCTCATCGGCATCACCACCGAACTTGACGCGTTTCTTCACCGGCACCAGATGGATCCAGTCATGCTCGGAACGCCATTCCTCCTCACCCAGTAGATAATGGAAGTTCTGCAACATCACACAGCGAATCCAGTGCCCCTCAATAAATACTATGTCCATGTTGAGCATTGTTAGCTCACGCTCCAGCTCACGGTATGTCTGCTTCATTTTGTCGGTTATTTCGTAGTAGGTCTTTACCTGATAGACCATCGTCATAGCTGCATTGTACTCCTTTTTTTCCCACTTGGCGAAGAGACCCTCATACAAAATCTTGGTGTTCTTCATGTCCTGCCAGTGGCGCTCGTTCAGCGTGTCGTAGATCTTGGTGCGCACCATTTTGCCTTGGATCAAAAGCGACTCGTACTTGAGACGCATTGCGACCTTTAATAGTTCGACGCCTGTCTTGAAGTTAAATGTTTTGACTGTAGCACGGTTTTTCAACTCATCTATATAGTTCTCATCGAGGTCGGTGATTACGGAACCAAAGAACTTTTTTGTTTTAGGTCCAATTAACATTTGATTGGCACGGCTCACGGGGACCTCCAGTCTGAGACGCAAGCCGTTGCGAAGACGTGAGCTGAACGTAAAGAATGAATCCTTGGGACCCAACATGGCTGCCTGCTCCTTATGTTGACCGGAGAAAGGAAGCATGCGGAAAGGGTTCTCCTCTTCAGCATCGACGTCAATGACTTCCGCTTGGAAGCGAGAACGGCGCATTTCCTCAAAGGGCACGAGGGGTTTCCGTATATAGTCCAAAGGTATCTTCGTCTCATCCTCTAACATTAAAAAGCTGCCGCTGTCTTTGGATAGATTTGTGCACTCCGAGCTACTAAGCGAGCTAAGGCATTGCTCAATGCTCTTAAGATCCTCCTCGAGATCAGCCTCAACTGCCTTGCGGTCAACCAACAAACGCTCCTCCTCCGGATCAATTTCTTTGGTCTCGTACAGAGCCTCGCGTGTCTCACGCAAAAAGTCCAGATACTGCTTACGTCCTGGAAAGTCAAGGTTCGCCAGCTCTTCAGGATCACGTGAGTGAAATACAAAGTCATAGGGCTGACACAGATCCTGCACTACCTCTCTGGCTCCATCCTTGGTATCAACGCGAGTAGCCGCCAAGTGATCAGCGATCATCTTTTCAAAATCATATTTTGGCAAAGTCAAATCAGTGTCTACATATTTCTTGCAAGGAGGATTTGCCTTGATAAAATTTACAATCGGAACTCTTTCCGGCTGTACTTGTACGGTGATCTTTGGGTAGACTGTTTTGGTCTGATAATGGACATGCACGGTCTTTGCCTGGGTGGGATCCCAATGATCGTGATGATGACGCGCCTCGAATTTGGTCGTGAACGGACGCTTTGGGGTACGTACATTGACATATTTGATATGATCGGGCATTACCTTTTCCAGCAGTGGCATACCTGAATTTTGGATGGCATCATTAAACTGAGCCGATGGCACACGCTCGGTCTCGTAGTTCCGTCGTCGTCTCGGATGTATGTGAAGCGTTTGCTCTCGGAATTCAGGCGCTGGCATGTTGCCACGCTGATCAATGGGCACATTTTCGCCCCCGGCCTTCATGCGATATTCAGGATTATATGCTTCCTCACTGGATGGAGTCGTTTGCTTAAGAACCTCTTGAGGGGGCACCCAGTCCAGATCGACTTCCTCTTCCTTGACATCGCAAGGCGATTGCTCGCGCAATTGTTTCGCCTCTACGCAGGTGAGTCCCAGCAAATTCATTCGCGCGAGCTTTGCCTTGAGGTGCTTCGCCTTGGTCACTTTGTTCTTGAGCGTTAAGTACTCCAAGGTAGTTTCAACTTTGGAAGCGTCCACAACATCGGCATCTAATTGATCTGGTGCATCCGGCACTATGATCTTTTCCGGAAACACATAGCGAATGAGATTGAACTTCTTGACGTGATATTTCAGCTTGGGCTTGACCAGCTTCAGATTCTTCCGAAGCACACGATGATAATGTAGACCGAGGGGCTTATCGATGAACTCTTTGATGGCGCTCTTCTTCTCATGCTTGTGCAGACTCATACCCTGCGGCGGAAATAGATCCAATTTAGGATCATCCGGATCGAGAACTTTTATAATGCCTCGCTCGACGTCCAGCTTGATGGGCTCCTTGCGGGGCGCCAATTGATTGAGCCACTCGTCTCGCGTTAGGCAACCCTTAACCGTTCGCTGACCTTCCATGATCTGAGAGCGATGCAACTTGCCGCGCAGGCCGTCGCCGTGCTTGAAGTGAAAGCCGCGCAACTGAAATTTATCGCCTATTTTGCCCACCTTCAGATAGTCTTCATCATCGCTGCTCTGTTCGCTGGGCGTGGTGCCGACACTGCCGTCAATGCTATCCTCGCAGCGCAATTGATGCGTTGCCTCCGGAAACTTCTTCAGCTTGCCAGTGCGCTCCAGGAAGAACTCTTGAGTCACGCGTGCCAAGTCACGTCGCACGCAATTCTCCTTATGCATGATCGCCTTGAGTCGTTCGGTTTCCGTCAGTGTTTTGGGGAAGAACTTGCGCTTTCGTATCACTGGCGGTATATACTCGAATTTTCGAAAACTGCGCTCGATATCATCATCGATTTTCGCCACATCCTCTTGCAAATCCCTTTCGGCAACTGTGCGTGCCTGAATTTCCAGTTCGGCTGCCTCCACTCTCTTACGCTCGAGCTCTCGCTGGGCTGTACGTTCTTTGCTACGTAAATAAATGTCTTTGTAACGGGCCTCCCGACGCTTGTGCTCCTCGGCGATCTTCGCTTTGTTGGCTGGCTTGTCGGGAGAGCGATATAGCTCGGCGAGCTTAAAGTCCTTTGGTGGCGGTTTGTCTACAACGGGCTTATCCTTGATGTTTGTGTCAAACACTGGAGGTATCGCTAGACGTTCAGCTTGCAATTCGGCCTCAACTTTATTGGCAGTTTGCTTCTTCGTTCGTCGCCGCGTCATATAGCGCACCACTCGCCAATAGGTTTGTTGGTTTTGTTGGTCCTGTTCATCCTTCTCGTATGTATTCTTATAGTCCATGCCCTGGAAGTCCAAATTGACGGGATTCTCCAAATCAATGACCTCGCATATGTGCGAATCGGAGGACTCAGAGCCTGTGCTGGCGCACACGTTGTCCCCATGCTTGACCATCTTGCTAATTAGCTTGAATTGTTGATCGTCCGTCAGTTTCTTGTGTCGTAGCGCACTGGGATTGGCCAAGCAGTGAGTCTTGCGTGGATCTTGTGTGAGGAAGAACTTTTGGCGCACCGGCGCCAATTTGGACAATTGCTGAAAGTTTTCCGGACAATTTCCTATATACGGTCGTGGAGCCCCAATCACGTAGCTAGCCTCGCAGGGCTTCTTCCACTGGTCGCCCTTAAAGTTTTTGGCTCGAGCGGATGGCACATGAGAAGAGTCCATCATTTTCTCTGAATTAACTGATCCCATACTGCTTGACTGCTTTTTCTTTAATGGTTCAGGGGCCTTGTGTGGTAGACTGGACGACGTACAGCTTCTCGCTTTCATATTCACTGTGAAGATTCCGTCACGAAAGCCTGAAACGCTTGAGCTTAGAAAGTCATGCCCGGTTCGCTTGGTCAACACCCGCTTGCCACACACATCGCGCGTTGCGATTTCTGTCCGTTTGATATTCACATCCGGAAACTCTAGTGTCTGAACGGTCAACTGGCGATCCGAATCACGGTGGGAGAAGTCAATATTCTTGAACTTGGCTATTTCAATTTCCCGCTTCGACAAGTGGTGTCCCTTTTTTGGTGGACAGCGGTTTTTCGACCGAGCTAGCTTGGTATTTGACCTGCTTTTCGCTTCGGGCACATATGAATCTCGTACAGCATGGGACATTTTCTGAACGACACTTGCAGCAGCTTTGGTTTGTTCCAAAGATGCTTCAGTGTACCGTCCCTGTGTTCTCCTACTCTCAGCCATTTTTGCACTATTTTTGCACTATTCGGATTTGAAAATATAATATAGCTTGACTGGATAATAGTTTACGCCGTTTTCTTATTGTTGTAGTTCGATAGCAAAAGTGACTGAATTTAGGAATTTAACCCGTGTTACTGACTATGATTTTATTTCGTATTTTACTGACATAATTCTGGCAAGGGTAACTAGGTACTATGGACATACAAAATGGCATCTATTACGAATAACAAACAGGTCAAAATAAATAACAATCAATATGAAATAATATTAATAATATTAATAATAATAATAATAATTAAATGTTCTTTGCAACTCTAAGAAACTGCAATAAAATTGTTAATTTGTATAAAAAGAATTATACAGAAAATGTAGTTAATATTTTTATTTTCTTAAGAAATAAATATATCTATAATTCTTATATTTATTATTTATATATAAATATATACATATTTATTTATGCACATATAGTGTTTAGTCGCACTATCATTTTCATGACCATACCTAAATATATAATGTCTCAATTTCAGCAGTTTTTAAATTTTTTTCTGCAAGTCTGTTCACATTTACCTAAACTTAAGTAAGTAAACATTTTTTTCCATCTGTCGTCTGCATATAGTTTGAGTCCTTTATTTTTATTTTTATTTTTTTGCTGACTGCTTGCTTCCATTAGCATTCAAAAGTTTACATCGAGGACCCATAAATTCAGAATGGTACATATCTGCTTACATGATTTTTATTACATTTGTGGGGGCAGCATTTGCTGTACTCAGCATTCGCTGCTCTCACACCCAAATTTCTTTTGCTCGTACTTTATTTCCACCCTTATCATCAATATTTCCATTTTCCTTATTTGGCATACCCTATAGACATATCATTGACAAGAGAACTTTATGAAGATATGAAATTTATAAGAATGAAGAATTTGTATATATAAATTTTATATTTATAATTTGTATATATCTATTTATATAACAGATATTGTTATGTAGGGTATCTGCTCTTCGATCATTTGCCTTTACATGTTTTCCTTTGTGTGTGTCCTTATGTACCTTGTATACTCATTGTGAACTCCTGCCCGCCTAAAAGTATGCCATAAAAATTGACTGGTTTTCCATTTTTAGCTTGTCGCACTGCGCATTGAGTTGCCACATTTTTCAATTTATTTTTCAGCTCCATCTTGACGTTTTATGACCCACATATGTCTGCCTAATAGGTCCGAGAACTAAGCCGCCATCGCCCTACTTGAATTTAATTAAAATTTATAACGACTTCCATATGCCAAAACGCTCTGCATAATTGCAATCAGTTGATCTAAATATATAAATATATTAATTTCTACCCTCTCCTGGTCCTATTTAAATCTCACATTTATGTTTATTTTCGATGCTCGTAACCGGAAATAAAGTTATTTTTTGTGCATTTTCTATTCGTGCGTCAATTTTAATGCTCGACTCTTTTTGTTGTTGTTGCTTTCAGTCAAATTTCATTGTTTTGATTATTATTTTTTTTCGGACACCCCCCAAGCGGCAAATAAATAATTTATAATAATTTCACAAAATACCACTTAAAGTGCGGAAATTGCGCAACACGAAGCCCCACAACGGACAATTGTGTGAATTTATAATTTTTGTGCAAATTCAATTAAATGTAGCACGTTTGGGGAGCGTGGGGATTACGGCTGCAAATTGGGAAATTGAGAAATTGGCAAATGGGCAAAAATCAATTCAATTCACTTCAAAAGAAATAAATAAAATAAAAGTTGCACTTTTTGCATAGAAATGCAAAATGCAAAATGCAAAACGCAAAACGCACAACGCATTATGAAAACATATTCCTTAATGTTATGCCTGAATATTCTATGCTCTTACAAAAGTGCATATCAATTATTCATTCTATAAAATGAAATTGTATTTGCAATGCATTTCTAAAACATAAGCTTTAGGCCGGACTTAATCTACTTATATTTGAAATTATGGTAAAGTTATATTATTCAATGTAAAGCTAGTAAGCTTTTGGTTTTCCATTTACATATAATTTTTGATTCATTTATGTAGAATTAGGTAGGGCTGCATTAGTCGAGCGACAGGCATATAGAGATGGAGGGATGGACAAAGTGATAGGTAGAGAAAGAGGAAGAGAGTGGATGAACAGATGAGCAAGTGAGAGGGAGAGACGTAGAGAAGCTGAGAGGTATATATAGGAATAGAGAGAGAGAGAGAGAGAGAAATAAAGTGAGAGAGAGAAGATATATAGATAAAGATAAAGAGAGGAAGAGAAATAGAAAAAGAAAAGAAAAGAAAGCGAGAGAGAGAGCAAGAGAGCCTGGCAAAGACAGAGAGAGAGGGACGGAGGGAGATATATATATACAGAGAGAGAGAAAGAGAGAGAGAGAGAGAGACAGGAAAATAGATATATATACAGATAGAGACAGAGAGAGAAAAGAAAAGAGAAAAGGTAGAGAGAGAAAGGTACTGACAGAAACATATGGAGAGATATATAGAGAATGAAAAGCAAAGAGAGACAACATAAAAACCGAAGAAAGCCCGAGGGAAAATAATAAATTAGTAATTAAAATTCATGAAAATCCCGCAGAAACAAAATACGAGTAGCTTGATGAGAAAAATCAATTTTGTTTAAAAAAATATAAGGGAGTACTTAGGTCACGTCTATGCAAGTCTGTGAAACACAAAATCCGGCAGTCAGAAAGACCAAGCAAAGCTCTTATGGACTTGCTAAGAAAAAATGACAACATGAGGAAGTAAGTTATACTGCACTCATTATACTAAGGAAAATCCATTTTAAATATGCAATTACTTAAATACATTCACAATATTAACATCAATATGTATTGGGCCCACATAAAAGAGGGGAGCTTCTTGAGCTTTAAGAATTTTTCAATGCGGCCACGCGGTTTTGCGAGCAATCAATTATCATTAGCGCAGTCAATTATCATATGCAGTCTTCCCACTTACTTTAGCCAATTGCTAATGCTTGTGGTGCAACAAACCTGCTGGAAAAATAATCAAGCCCAACCGGCGCAAGGGTACAAAAAGACAACGCAAGAAAAAATTGGTTAACATTTTTTTAGTTTGCTTTTGCTTTGCTTTCACTTTGCAGCTAAAAAGTTTAATTCAATTAAGAGTTTGGCCTGCGCCGCTGCCTGGATGCTGAAGTTCGCTCTGACGAGAAACCAAACACTTGCACACACACACAACTACACACCTACACACATGTAGCTGCACAGTTGGCCACCCACAGCAAAGTCAAAGTTGCGCTTTTCAATTTTTGCAACATTTTCTGTTGCATTTCCTTTTGGTCTCGTTTTCTCACCTGCCCAGGTTACATTCACCTTTTCAGGATTCATTAAAAATGCATTCTCCTGCCTGCCTGCCTGCTGTGCCAAAAGAAACTGAAAAATTTAAGCAAAAAACTTTTGGAGTCTGTGCAGCGAAGACGACGACGACGACGACGACGACGCCGCGACGTTGAAGGCGCTGCCATATTTGCCATATGGCCAAAGTCTGTGCGGGATTTTCTTTGTTTGGCTATAAAGTTTTCCCACTGCACATTTTATGCCAGACTGCAGCAGCAGCATCAGCAGCACCTCTTAAAGATGCACGAGCTGGGCTGCTGTCAGGTGTTCAGCTTTCACAGTTAAATTAGTCAAAAGAACATATCGAAACTGTTTATAGCTGATATATGTTTGAAATATTTTATTCACTATAAATATACATAGAATGTATAAGATATATTTTGCTACTATCTAGTTAACAACAGCATCTGCGCTTAAAAAAAACTCATGAAATCAAGCGACTTTAGAGCTTTGAATTCAAGTTACAAAGTTATATTAAAAATTTTACAAATATTTTTTAGAATGTCGAAAACTTAATTATTTTAGGGCTGCTCTTGGCTGCCGAATAATGCTTACATTTTGCAAATGCTATTCACAATTAAGGTGATAATAAAATTTATTAATGTTCTAAATATTATCAATAACTTCAATACTTGCTGAAAGCAAATATAGCAAATAGTATCAGACTTGCTGATTCACTCATCTAAAAACTCAAAATATTGGCCTTTGCCCTTTACATCACTAGGTAACTCTTTATTCATTCAATTCTTTGCTAACTACTTTTATAAATGAGCATTCTACAAATACGAAATATGATTATGCGTCTATATAACAATATTAACCCATATATATATTATTCTTTTGCAAATAAACATGTTTTCATTTCGCCTTCTTCATAACCCTTTTTCCGCCTTATGTTTCACGTGCATATGGAATAAGTTTCGCTATGATTATTTTCAGTTTTTTTTTGCAGCTTCTAATTGCCCAGCAAATGTGCTCATCTAGGCTATAATTTCCTAAGCTTCAATATGCATTTTCCCAGCCACTTCACAATTTTATTTTTTCGCTTTTTTCTCTCTCTCGCTCCGCACTATTTTTTTTCACGCGCGGCAAAGTTTTTAATTGAAAGTTTTAAGCTGTAATTGAAGTTTGCCCAGTCCTTCGACCTGTCACGTCCCTCACTGGTCTAAGCCAACCAACCACTACACGTACTCCTTCCATCTCCTCCAGGGTTTTGCCATCTAACATAGCTGCTGCCATTTTGCCAGCCTCTTCATTGCGCACTTTCGGTACCCAGGCTCGTCCTGCAACTTGTAAAGCGTTTTATCCAGGCTCGGCCTGTTGGCCAATGCCTTGGTCGAAGTCCCTTTTCGAGTGAAGCGCAAATTTGCCTTTTGGCCCAGGTATGAAATAATTATAATTTGCAAATTTCGCAGCCATCGCGCGAACCTTGTTTAATTTTGTGTGCAGCAACTTGTTAAAGTCATCCCGAAAGTGGCTGCCACTTCAACAATCTTCATAAATGTGTTAAATTTAACTCGCATTGCGAGTATATATATCCTTATATATGTATAAAGCATATATATATATATATTTATATACATATTCTTTTTTAATGCCTGTCCAGATGAATTTCATTTTACATTTACGCTCGCCGTGCCTTTTCTTTTGTGGCGTATAAAACATGTATTTATTTAATTAAAAAACGCAGCTTTCCTCTGCTGTGCTGTGTTGTGTAGTGTAATAATAACAATAATAACAATTTTCAGTTTTTATTTTTTGTATCTTTTTTGGTTTCCCGAACTTTTAACAACCAATTGTTGTGGCAG